GGAGCACCGTGCACAGTTCCAGTCTCTGTATCCCTCAGTTAGATCCACACTCAGAGCACTGTGCACAGTCGCTGCCTCTTTATCGCTCAGTTAGAGCCGCACTTGGAGCACTGTGCACAATTCCAGTCTCCGTATCCCATACTTACACCCACTCTCGGAGCACTGTGCACGGTTCCAGTCTCCGTATCCCACATTTACACCCACACTCGGAGCACCGTGCACTGTTTCAGTCACCTTATCCCTCAGTTAGACCCACACTCGGAGCACTGTGCACAGTTCCAGTCTCCGGATCCCTCAGTTAGACCCACACTCGGAGCACTGTGCACAGTTCCCATCTCCATATCCCTCAGTTAGACCCACATTCAGAGCTCTGTGCACAGTTCCCATCTCCATATCCCTTATTTACACCCAAACTCGGAGCACTGTGCACAGTTCCAGCCTCCATATCCCTCAGTTCGACCCACACTCGGAGAACCGTGCACAGTTCCAGTCTCCGTACCCCTCAGTTAGACCCACACTCGGAGCACCGTGCACAGTTTCAGTCTCCGTTTCTGAAAACAAATGTGGAGATAGGGAAGGTGGAAAAGAAGATGGATGAACAAAATGATCATACCTTCACTGAGAAGTTAGAAGGCAGACGAAAGACTGAAGAGAGACGGCGTGCGGGGGGCCTGATGGTTTCAAATTGTGAACGTGACCTTCAATAGGGCAGAGATGGACAGATATGTTTGCTATTGCCTGTTGTGGTGACCAGAGAGGGGCCCAATATCATAGACAATCCTCTGCTATGGATCAGACCAAAACACCTTCAAATATATCAATGACATTGCCTAGACCCTAACGTTTATCTTATTTAAATGCAAGTGTAAGCTCCTGTCTTCTAGATGTAATTGAATTGATCACCGTACTGAGCTGTAAGCAAAATAGACTTTATTCTCACTCTACAGTTAAAATATAAACAAAAGAAAGAAGAGCTGGTATAAAGTTAACTCTATTGGAAAACTTAACAGAGTCATGGATTATTTAACTACTAAACAGCAGCTGTTCCAATACAGTTACATTCCATTAACACACCCTTGGCAGAGGCAAATTCAGTAAAATAGATTGTCTCACATGTAGGGTTTCTCCAGTCCAGGAGGAAAGAACATCAAGACAAAATTCTGGCAGGCAAAGAGAGAGAGAGATAGAGAGTTTTTGGAGCTTCCATAGTCAGCTTCAAAGCCCCAACAATTACTGAAAGCGAAACTAAAATCCCTGGTTCTGTGGGAGCCTGACTCCACCCATTCATGCTGCTTCTATTGTTCCATCTTCAGAAAAAACAACCAAGGCTTGATGGGCCGCTTGTTTCATTGTCTTGGAAGAGACCGCTCTTCATCTCTCTCTCTCTCAAAACGTCTCTTCAAAAAGTAAAACAGGACAAAATACACCTCTGAAAGCCACTGAATAATCACACATGAATAAATCCTGTGGAGAATTGTCCCGTAAGAGCTGGGCTGGATGAAGTGGGAGATGGGTATGGCTGCAACAGTTTGGATTCAGGGAAACCAACTTTGGGATGCTGACTCCACACCACACAGGGTTTGAGTGAAGATTTGTAGCTGGGGTGATGGTTGTAGATGTTGGTGTGTTCACCGAGCTGGGAGGTTTAATAGCAGAGGTTTCATTCCCTTACTAGGTGACATCTTCAGTGCTGTGCAGCTTCCTGTGAAGCAGTGTTGTCCTGTGCTGGTTAGAATCTATGTGGGCTGGTTTTTGCTGCTTCCGGTAGGTGCTGGTTCCAGCTCTGTGTTATAATGGTTGGTATATCGGGTCTAATTCCATGTGTTTGTTGTTGGAGTTTGCGGATGAATGCCAAGGTTCCAAGAATTCCCTGACTGTCCTCTGTTTGGCTTGTCCTACAATAGCAGTGTTGTCCCAGTTGAAAGTGTGGTTTTTCTCGTCTGTGTGTACTGAAACCAAGTCCCTTTGCCACTATACACTTCCTACCTCTGTGGGTGTTTGGTCCTGACCCGTGAGTCACTTAAAAAAGAAACAACATCCAAGTTCAACAGATCAGAGACAGAGAAGGCAAATGGTAAGCTGGCCATTATTTCAAAGGGAATAAAAAGAGAGAAGTTTTGCTAAAACTGCACAAGGCCCCGACTGCAGCTGGAATATTGGGAACAGCTTTCAGCCCCTTATCTAAGGGTCATTGAATCGTACAGCACAGAAACAGACCCTTCAGCCCAACTCATCCATGCTAAGCAGGTTTCCTAAACTGACCTAGTCCCATTTGCCAGCATTTGGCCCATATCCCTGTAAACCTTTCCTATTCATGTACCCATCCAGATGTTGTAACTGTACCAGCCTCCACCACTTCCTCTGGCAGCTCGTTCTATACACGCACCACCCTCTGTGTTGAAAAGTTGCCCCTCAGGTCCCTCTTAAACCTCCCTCCCCTCACTTTAAACCTATGCCCCTCTAGTTTTGGACTCCCCTACCCTGGGAAAAAGATCTTGTCTGTTCACCCTTTCCATGCCCCTCATGATTTTATAAACTTCTGTAAGGTCACCCCCTCAGTCTCTGACGCTCCAGGGAAAATAGCCCCCAGCCGATTCAGCCTCTCCCTATAGCTCAAACCATCCAACCCCGGCAACATCCTCGTAAATCTTTTCTGAAAACCCTTTCAATTTTCACAACATCCTTCCTAGAACAGGGAGACCAGAATTGCACTCAGTATTCCGAAAGTGGCTTAACCAATAAAAACCGAAAGAACTGCGGATGCTGTAAATCAGGAACAAGAACAGAAGTTGCTGGAAAAGCTCAGCAGGCCTGGCAGCATCTGCGAAGAAAAGGTTAGAGTTAACTGACCCTTCCTCAGAACTGATCCTGAGCAGTTCTGCCAGACCTGCTGAGCTTTTCCAGTTCTGAATTTGTGGCTTAACCAATGTCCTGTACAACTCCAACATGATGTCCCAGTAAAGGCAAACATGCCAAACACCTTCTTCATTATCCTGTCTACCTGGGACTCCACTTTCAAGGAACTATGTACATAGACACCTCGGTCAGATCTTGAGATTGATCCTGGGTACGGATGAGGAGAGGTTAAATAGATTGGGCCTGTACCCATCGGAGTTTAGAAAAATGACAGGCCACTTTATTGAACCATACAAGATTCTTAGGGGACTTGACATGTAGTTACAAAGATGTTGTTGAGGGCGACGGTTAGATTCTATTGAGTTAGGGATGGCCTGGCAGATGTGTGGCATGAACATTACTGCCTGAATATGATGAGGCAATTTCTAAAATAATTTGAACAATTGGAAAAGACCAGAGGGAGAGAATTAGTTTGGAAAACCACTTGTTTGACAATAACTTGACAAATGCTATGCAAATCTACAATAGGCCACTGAATTGTTTGAAAAGAAATCTTGCATTGAAACAGTGACTCATTTGGTACACGTGGTCAGGAAGTTCAAGACTAGTTTAAAATAAACTAGATCTGCTTTTCGATTCAATTTACACTTCTCAGCTCCCCAGATCCGAGAGGACAGCTGCATTATAATGGACAATTCGACAGAACAATCAATGTTGGAGATAACATCGGTGAGAAAATTTTCTCAAATCTCTTTCGAATAGACATTTGTTTTATGCCTTAACGAGACGATATTGCATAGGGCTGGCTTATTAATATTTCTAGGTGTCCTCAGTAGCTTGGCATTGAGCATATCTATGAAGCAAAATTATCTCACCAGTCTAAGAATGAATAATATTTCAAAAATTGATTTAATAATGCTCTGAAAAATGAGTATGAGGAAAAATGAGAAATAGTTCCAATTTCTGCAGATGTGCAACAGGGAGAGCAGCACAGTTTTTGGGGAAATTGTTTAAAGTTATTCCTGTGCACATTATGACTCATACTCTGAAGAGGTTGTGGTGTGTTGCAGTATCCCTCTCTCTGTTCCAGGAGACCCAGGTTTAAGCCCCAACCCCCAAAATTGTGTTGTAACATGTGAGCAAAGGGGATTCGAATAATTGTAGAGTTGCCTTAGTCCAAGAGGAGACTCTTGTGTCTGTACAGAATCTTAAATTTGCTCCATGCTGCCTCGAATTCCGGCAACAATGTCTCTGATTCTGCACCAAAACCTCCCCCGAACCAACCCAACAACCTCATCATTCTTTTGAAAGTTCCTGTTGAATTTCTCCCTCTCAGGCAATGAGTTCCAGATCAGATGATGCTGGGTCACAAAAAACTAATTCTCTCCCTCTGGTCTTTTTTCCCCCAATTTTTTGTTTTTATAGAATCCCTATAGTATGGAAACAAGCCCTTCGGCCCAACAAGTCCACACTGGCCCTCAAAGTATCCCACCCAGACCCATCCCCAGATACTATGGGCAATTTAGCGTGGCCAATCCACCTAGCCTGCACATCTTTGGACTGTGGGAGAAAACCAGAGCACCCAGAGGAAACCCACACAGACACAGGGAGAATGTGCAAACTCCACACAGACAGCTGCCCAATGCTGGAATCAAACCCAGGGCCCTGGTGCTGTGAGGCAGCAGTGCTAACCACGAGCCACCATGCTACCCATCTCTAGGATCAGTGTCAAGATCTGACCTCTGGTGACTGACCCACCTGGCCACTGGGAATTCTGTATCACTTATCAAACCGTACAAAAATCCCATTAAAGTATTGAGCCTATAAAACAGTGCCCTAAAGGCTTACAAAGGGATGATTATCAACAGTATCTAGCAGTGTACCCCAACAGGAGATATTATTGACAGGTGATTGAAAGCTTAGTCGAAGAGTTTGGACTTTAAAAACCTTTGCAAAGGATGGAGAAAGTGACAGAGAGAGATGGACAGGTTTAGGGAGGGAATTCCTGAGCTCAGGACCCCAGGCAGCTGAAGGCACGGCCCCCAGTGGTGAAGCGATGGGAATCGGGATGCTTGAGAGTCTGGGATTGGAGGGGGTTACAAAGATAGGGAGGGGGTGTAGGGGCCGGAGGAGGTTATAGAGATAGTGAAGGGGTGTAGGGGCTGGAGGAGGTTACAGAGATAGGGAGGGGTGTAGGGGTGGAGGAGGTTACAGAGATAGTGAAGGGGTGTAGG